GTTTGGTCATGTTTGAAGGCACAGCCCCGTGTATGTACACATGGACTGAACACGGTTTTTTCCTGGTTTGGGGGGGACTGACTGAGGTTTAAGTCTGCAAGAACGCATATGTCGCCAAAGGACCTTTTCTCGTAAAAAGTCCTTGACAGTATGCACAATGCCATGAAATCCTCTCCCAGTGCTTTTTTAGGTGGTCGTTTAAATGGCACCAGTTCCCCCTTTCCTGATTCCATAACCGCAGCATTTGGGGCATAGTTCCCTTTGTTGCGAATATAATCCACTGTTTTTTCTCTCCTTTGAACATTTTGGAAAGCTTAGAGCTCTAGCCACATCAGATGTATTTGCATGTGAACTTTCTAGATGCCTTGCCATCTTAGCGTAAGGTTTGGAGCAAATACAAGCAGTAATGTCTCTTGTTATACACTCTACCACCATCTCTTTTTATGGTATGCATTAACAACTACGCAGTCTATTGTGTTCTGACTTGAACTGGGCTCTTCTACTGTTCCAGATGCTTTAGACGTAACGCTGTGCATATTGTCTGACGTTGTTGAGTCACAGTCAGGGGAGCTTACAGAGGCAGATTCATTCATATCCAGTTGATCAAGAAGCTGACGTTTTGTTGGGTTCAGTGTAAGGCTAACATCACTGTCACAGTCACTGTCGGAAGTGGTATCTGGAACATAATTATCTGAACTCTCTGGTGTAGAATCAAAGAGCTCACCAGAATCTTGAAGATCAATGTCTTTTATCTTAAAAAAGTAAACAAGAAACATCAAAAAGTTCATTAGAAATAGGTAGAACTGCTGCATTTAATTGATCATTAAAAGATATAAATTGGCAACTATTTAAAAAAAAAAAGTACTGTTCAAGTATTTTTAAATTTACAAGTTACATGTGATTTGCAGCTTCTTACTGCTTGTTACACTAAAGTTCTTAAGTGTAATAAAACATTTTGGGCAGTTGATCTGACAAATAAGGACATCTGATTTCAAATAAAGGGGATGCAATTTTTTTGATTCACTGATATTTTGCAGTCAAAATGATTTATCACATAATTTATTAATTACATAGCCTAAATTATATTTCACTGAGTGATTGATGAGAATAAAATGTTGATGGCAGCTCTAAGCAAAATAACTTATCAATAACAAATGACAATAGTTACGTTTACATGCAACCAAATAATCCATTAGAAATCAGACTGACGGCTTAAAGGAGAACTCCGGCGAACAATGAACCTTTGGTCTAATAAAACATCGGTACCTAGTCAATCGTTCTCTTTGATGAGATTTGAGATCATGAGATTTATTTTCATGATAATCGAATGTAAAGAGTTTTATCTCTAAAAACTGTTTAGCGTATAATGCTAGTAATGGGGGCATTGACCAAGTAAAAAGAAATCGCTAGTTTATACCACTAACAAGGCTCAAAATAGCCCCACTCTAACACAGTAACATAATGAGGCTCCATACATGCAAAACGAAGCATTGAGAACTTTGTAAGTGTACAGACCGTTTAATAAGAAGATACTTTATGAAGACGGTTCACTTTGTGTATACAGACAGAAGCCATCTTAAAAAAGTCTCGATAAGTCGATCCCCGAACGACGTTCATACAGTTCAGAAGTTCAAAGAACTTCATACAGTTCAGATCACTCAGCACGACGTTCGTGGTTTGACTTATCGAGACTTATTTTCTAAGATGGCTTCTGTCTGTATACATTAACAGTGAACTGTCTTCATAAAGTATCTTCTTATTAAACGGTCTGTACACTTACAAAGTTCTCAATGCTTCGTTTTGCATGTATGGAGCCTCATTATGTTACTGCGTTAGTGTGGGGCTATTTTGAGCCTTGTTAGTGGTATAAACTAGCAATTTCTTTTTACTTAGTCAATGCCCCCATTACTAGCATTATACGCTAAACAGTTTTTAGAGATAACTCTTTATATTCGATTATCATGAAAACAAATCTCAGAGAACGATTGACTATGTACCGATGTATTATTAGACCAAAGGTTCATTGTTCGCCAGAGTTCTCCTTTAATCAGACTGAAAAGCCTTCATATGCAAACACCTTTATCCTATGTAAAAAGCGAGCAGAGCAAGCTTCCATAAGACTGGACTCAAATTATGAATGCCCTTTACATTTAACTTTCGCTTTCAAATTATCGACGATTTTAAAATTAAAAGAGAGGAGCAAAAGAGGGAAAAACTCCAACGTGTGCATGTAAACATAGCAATTGAGTCTCTTGTTGCAACTTGAGAACTTACCACAATACTTTTAGTCCGTCTCAGTCTTGGTACAAAAATGTCATTTTCATTTCGGTGCTGTATCACAATCTGTAAAAAGAAAAGAAAACAGTGTAAACAACATTTTAGTATTTGACATGTAAAAATAAAAAGCGCAAGAAAACAAAAATTATATATATATATATATATATATATATATATATTCCTGTCCAGCAAAGCTTGATCATCTGGATTACATCTTGATCTACATCTGGTTTAAAACCAGCCTCATGGGGACTTTACACACACAACGTTATAGTTCCTTATGGGGACCAGTTTCATCAAATTCAAAACACGGGTGTGAACTCAAATACTGACCAAAAGTGTGTTGTGGGGACGTCGTGAGTGTCCATTTCAATGCAACAATTAACCCAGAAAAAAAATCCCAGTGAAGGATAAAAGTGGCCCTAAATACTGCACTACAATTGATCTACTGGGCACATGTCGTAAAACAGTTTAATGTACTAGTTTACACCAGATACTCATCAAAATATGCTTACAAATCACTAAACCGTGAAAAAAAACCTAAATCTTTACTAATGAATGTGAACTCACCTGTTGAGGAGAGTTGATTTGAGCAGATTCTTCATCCATCTGAGTCACTGACTGGAGAGAAGGATCAGAGTCATTCACTGTGCTGGTATTAACAGCAACTCTGGTCATCTGTAAGAGACAACATTCACAATGACAAGATTTTAGAAAATGGAAAAGGACAAGAGAAATCTGAAGCAGATACCACATGATTTGAGAATGTAAAACGAAATCAACTACATCTATAACATATTTCCTGTCCAGTCTAACTCTGTGCGCGCTCACACACACAAATATCTAGATTAAAACCAGCCTCATGGGGACTTTACACACACAACGTTATAGTTCCTTATGGGGACCAGTTTCATCAAATTCAAAACACGGGTGTGAACTCAAATACTGACCAAAAGTGTGTTGTGGGGACGTCGTAAGTGTCCATTTCAATGCAACAATTAACCCAGAAAAAAATCCCGTGAAGGATAAAAGTGGCCCTAAATACTGCACTACAACTGATCTACTGGGCACATGTCGTAAAACAGTTTAATGTACTAGTTTACACCAGATACTCATCAAAATATGCTTACAAATCACTAAACCATGACAAAAAACCTAAATCTTTACTAATGAATGTGAACTCACCTGTTGAGGAGAGTTGATTTGAGCAGATTCTTCATCCATCTGAGTCACTGACTGGAGAGAAGGATCAGAGTCATTCACTGTGCTGGTTTTAACAGCAACTCTGGTCATCTGTAAGAGACAACATTCACAATGACAAGATTTTAGAAAATGGAAAAAGATGAGAGAAATCTGAAGCAGATACCACATGATTTGAGAATGTAAAACGAAATCAACTACATCTATAACATATTTCCTGTCCAGTCTAACTCTAGTGCGCGCTCACACACACACACATCTGGATTAAAACCAGCCTCATGGGGACTTTACACACACAACGTTATAGTTCCTTATGGGGACCAGTTTCATCAAATTCAAAACACGGGTGTGAACTCAAATACTGACCAAAAGTGTGTTGTGGGGACGTCGTAAGTGTCCATTTCAATGCAACAATTAACCCAGAAAAAAAATCCCGTGAAGGATAAAAGTGGCCCTAAATACTGCACTACAATTGATCTACTGGGCACATGTCGTAAAACAGTTTAATGTACTAGTTTACACCAGATACTCATCAAAATATGCTTACAAATCACTAAACCGTGACAAAAAACCTAAATCTTTACTAATGAATGTGAACTCACCTGTTGAGGAGAGTTGATTTGAGCAGATTCTTCATCCATCTGAGTCACTGACTGGAGAGAAGGATCAGAGTCATTCACTGTGCTGGTATTAACAGCAACTCTGGTCATCTGTAAGAGACAACATTCACAATGACAAGATTTTAGAAAATGGAAAAAGATGAGAGAAATCTGAAGCAGATACCACATGATTTGAGAATGTAAAACGAAATCAACTACATCTATAACATATTTCCTGTCCAGTCTAACTCTGTGCGCGCTCACACACACAAATATCTAGATTAAAACCAGCCTCATGGGGACTTTACACACACAACGTTATAGTTCCTTATGGGGACCAGTTTCATCAAATTCAAAACACGGGTGTGAACTCAAATACTGACCAAAAGTGTGTTGTGGGGACGTCGTGAGTGTCCATTTCAATGCAACAATTAACCCAGAAAAAAATCCCAGTGAAGGATAAAAGTGGCCCTAAATACTGCACTACAACTGATCTACTGGGCACATGTCGTAAAACAGTTTAATGTACTAGTTTACACCAGATACTCATCAAAATATACTTACAAATCACTAAACCGTGACAAAAAACCTAAATCTTTACTAATGAATGTGAACTCACCTGTTGAGGAGAGTTGATTTGAGCAGATTCTTCATCCATCTGAGTCACTGACTGGAGAGAAGGATCAGAGTCATTCACTGTGCTGGTATTAACAGCAACTCTGGTCATCTGTAAGACAACATTCACAATGACAAGATTTTAGAAAATGGAAAAGGACAAGAGAAATCTGAACCAGATACCACATGATTGGAGAATGTAAAACGAAATCAACTACATCTATAACATATTTCCTGTCCAGTCTAACTCTAGTGCGCGCTCACACACACACACATCTGGATTAAAACCAGCCTCATGGAGACTTTACACACACAACGTTATAGTTCCTTATGGGGACCAGTTTCATCAAATTCAAAACACGGGTGTGAACTCAAATACTGACCAAAAGTGTGTTGTGGGGACGTCGTAAGTGTCCATTTCAATGCAACAATTAACCCAGAAAAAAAATCCCAGTGAAGGATAAAAGTGGCCCTAAATACTGCACTACAACTGATCTACTGGGCACATGTCGTAAAACAGTTTAATGTACTAGTTTACACCAGATACTCATCAAAATATGCTTACAAATCACTAAACCGTGACAAAAAACCTAAATCTTTACTAATGAATGTGAACTCACCTGTTGAGGAGAGTTGATTTGAGCAGATTCTTCATCCATCTGAGTCACTGACTGGAGAGAAGGATCAGAGTCATTCACTGTGCTGGTATTAACAGCAACTCTGGTCATCTGTAAGAGACAACATTCACAATGACAAGATTTTAGAAAATGGAAAAGGACAAGAGAAATCTGAAGCAGATACCACATGATTTGAGAATGTAAAACGAAATCAACTACATCTATAACATATTTCCTGTCCAGTCTAACTCTGTGCGCGCTCACACACACACACATCTGGATTAAAACCAGCCTCATGGGGACTTTACACACACAACGTTATAGTTCCTTATGGGGACCAGTTTCATCAAATTCAAAACACGGGTGTGAACTCAAATACTGACCAAAAGTGTGTTGTGGGGACGTCGTGAGTGTCCATTTCAATGCAACAATTAACCCAGAAAAAAATCCCAGTGAAGGATAAAAGTGGCCCTAAATACTGCACTACAACTGATCTACTGGGCACATGTCGTAAAACAGTTTAATGTACTAGTTTACACCAGATACTCATCAAAATATGCTTACAAATCACTAAACCATGACAAAAAACCTAAATCTTTACTAATGAATGTGAACTCACCTGTTGAGGAGAGTTGATTTGAGCAGATTCTTCATCCATCTGAGTCACTGACTGGAGAGAAGGATCAGAGTCATTCACTGTGCTGGTTTTAACAGCAACTCTGGTCATCTGTAAGAGACAACATTCACAATGACAAGATTTTAGAAAATGGAAAAAGATGAGAGAAATCTGAAGCAGATACCACATGATTTGAGAATGTAAAACGAAATCAACTACATCTATAACATATTTCCTGTCCAGTCTAACTCTAGTGCGCGCTCACACACACACACATCTGGATTAAAACCAGCCTCATGGGGACTTTACACACACAACGTTATAGTTCCTTATGGGGACCAGTTTCATCAAATTCAAAACACGGGTGTGAACTCAAATACTGACCAAAAGTGTGTTGTGGGGACGTCGTAAGTGTCCATTTCAATGCAACAATTAACCCAGAAAAAAAATCCCGTGAAGGATAAAAGTGGCCCTAAATACTGCACTACAACTGATCTACTGGGCACATGTCGTAAAACAGTTTAATGTACTAGTTTACACCAGATACTCATCAAAATATGCTTACAAATCACTAAACCGTGACAAAAAACCTAAATCTTTACTAATGAATGTGAACTCACCTGTTGAGGAGAGTTGATTTGAGCAGATTCTTCATCCATCTGAGTCACTGACTGGAGAGAAGGATCAGAGTCATTCACTGTGCTGGTATTAACAGCAACTCTGGTCATCTGTAAGAGACAACATTCACAATGACAAGATTTTAGAAAATGGAAAAGGACAAGAGAAATCTGAAGCAGATACCACATGATTTGAGAATGTAAAACGAAATCAACTACATCTATAACATATTTCCTGTCCAGTCTAACTCTGTGCGCGCTCACACACACAAATATCTAGATTAAAACCAGCCTCATGGGGACTTTACACACACAACGTTATAGTTCCTTATGGGGACCAGTTTCATCAAATTCAAAACACGGGTGTGAACTCAAATACTGACCAAAAGTGTGTTGTGGGGACGTCGTGAGTGTCCATTTCAATGCAACAATTAACCCAGAAAAAAATCCCAGTGAAGGATAAAAGTGGCCCTAAATACTGCACTACAACTGATCTACTGGGCACATGTCGTAAAACAGTTTAATGTACTAGTTTACACCAGATACTCATCAAAATATGCTTACAAATCACTAAACCATGACAAAAAACCTAAATCTTTACTAATGAATGTGAACTCACCTGTTGAGGAGAGTTGATTTGAGCAGATTCTTCATCCATCTGAGTCACTGACTGGAGAGAAGGATCAGAGTCATTCACTGTGCTGGTATTAACAGCAACTCTGGTCATCTGTAAGAGACAACATTCACAATGACAAGATTTTAGAAAATGGAAAAGGACAAGAGAAATCTGAACCAGATACCACATGATTGGAGAATGTAAAACGAAATCAACTACATCTATAACATATTTCCTGTCCAGTCTAACTCTAGTGCGCGCTCACACACACACACATCTGGATTAAAACCAGCCTCATGGAGACTTTACACACACAACGTTATAGTTCCTTATGGGGACCAGTTTCATCAAATTCAAAACACGGGTGTGAACTCAAATACTGACCAAAAGTGTGTTGTGGGGACGTCGTAAGTGTCCATTTCAATGCAACAATTAACCCAGAAAAAAAATCCCAGTGAAGGATAAAAGTGGCCCTAAATACTGCACTACAACTGATCTACTGGGCACATGTCGTAAAACAGTTTAATGTACTAGTTTACACCAGATACTCATCAAAATATGCTTACAAATCACTAAACCGTGACAAAAAACCTAAATCTTTACTAATGAATGTGAACTCACCTGTTGAGGAGAGTTGATTTGAGCAGATTCTTCATCCATCTGAGTCACTGACTGGAGAGAAGGATCAGAGTCATTCACTGTGCTGGTATTAACAGCAACTCTGGTCATCTGTAAGAGACAACATTCACAATGACAAGATTTTAGAAAATGGAAAAGGACAAGAGAAATCTGAAGCAGATACCACATGATTTGAGAATGTAAAACGAAATCAACTACATCTATAACATATTTCCTGTCCAGTCTAACTCTGTGCGCGCTCACACACACACACATCTGGATTAAAACCAGCCTCATGGGGACTTTACACACACAACGTTATAGTTCCTTATGGGGACCAGTTTCATCAAATTCAAAACACGGGTGTGAACTCAAATACTGACCAAAAGTGTGTTGTGGGGACGTCGTGAGTGTCCATTTCAATGCAACAATTAACCCAGAAAAAAATCCCAGTGAAGGATAAAAGTGGCCCTAAATACTGCACTACAACTGATCTACTGGGCACATGTCGTAAAACAGTTTAATGTACTAGTTTACACCAGATACTCATCAAAATATGCTTACAAATCACTAAACCATGACAAAAAACCTAAATCTTTACTAATGAATGTGAACTCACCTGTTGAGGAGAGTTGATTTGAGCAGATTCTTCATCCATCTGAGTCACTGACTGGAGAGAAGGATCAGAGGCATTCACTGTGCTGGTTTTAACAGCAACTCTGGTCATCTGTAAGAGACAACATTCACAATGACAAGATTTTAGAAAATGGAAAAAGATGAGAGAAATCTGAAGCAGATACCACATGATTTGAGAATGTAAAACGAAATCAACTACATCTATAACATATTTCCTGTCCAGTCTAACTCTAGTGCGCGCTCACACACACACACATCTGGATTAAAACCAGCCTCATGGGGACTTTACACACACAACGTTATAGTTCCTTATGGGGACCAGTTTCATCAAATTCAAAACACGGGTGTGAACTCAAATACTGACCAAAAGTGTGTTGTGGGGACGTCGTAAGTGTCCATTTCAATGCAACAATTAACCCAGAAAAAAATCCCGTGAAGGATAAAAGTGGCCCTAAATACTGCACTACAATTGATCTACTGGGCACATGTCGTAAAACAGTTTAATGTACTAGTTTACACCAGATACTCATCAAAATATGCTTACAAATCACTAAACCGTGACAAAAAACCTAAATCTTTACTAATGAATGTGAACTCACCTGTTGAGGAGAGTTGATTTGAGCAGATTCTTCATCCATCTGAGTCACTGACTGGAGAGAAGGATCAGAGGCATTCACTGTGCTGGTTTTAACAGCAACTCTGGTCATCTGTAAGAGACAACATTCACAATGACAAGATTTTAGAAAATGGAAAAAGATGAGAGAAATCTGAAGCAGATACCACATGATTTGAGAATGTAAAACGAAATCAACTACATCTATAACATATTTCCTGTCCAGTCTAACTCTAGTGCGCGCTCACACACACAAATATCTAGATTAAAACCAGCCTCATGGGGACTTTACACACACAACGTTATAGTTCCTTATGGGGACCAGTTTCATCAAATTCAAAACACGGGTGTGAACTCAAATACTGACCAAAAGTGTGTTGTGGGGACGTCGTAAGTGTCCATTTCAATGCAACAATTAACCCAGAAAAAAAATCCCAGTGAAGGATAAAAGTGGCCCTAAATACTGCACTACAACTGATCTACTGGGCACATGTCGTAAAACAGTTTAATGTACTAGTTTACACCAGATACTCATCAAAATATGCTTACAAATCACTAAACCATGACAAAAAACCTAAATCTTTACTAATGAATGTGAACTCACCTGTTGAGGAGAGTTGATTTGAGCAGATTCTTCATCCATCTGAGTCACTGACTGGAGAGAAGGATCAGAGTCATTCACTGTGCTGGTATTAACAGCAACTCTGGTCATCTGTAAGAGACAACATTCACAATGATTCACCTAAACTCACCTGTTGAGGAGAGTTGATTTGGGGATTTGGATATAATTTATTGGAACAGACAAATTTGATTCATAGATTTCTAATCAACCAACAAATTTGTTGACATGTTGCAAAAATATGACCTATTTTGTACACAGTGTGCTTAACAACATACTTGTGTTCTCCATGGGTAGTCTTCTCCCCCATAATCATAGGCAATTTCTTCTCCTTCTTTAATGTCATTCAGGGCAAACAGACAAAGGTGAGGCTTTCCATTGACGTCAATTTTTTTCATCTTACAATTTGGATGATTGTGGCAATCATTAGCGATACGCCCATACGATCCATCTTCCCTTGACGCGTCAATACTTAAATATGAAACCATGAGAAAAGGATGATTACAAGTAATACAATTAAACCACCACAAATCAATGTATTTTTACTATCTTTTTATATAGCTTTGGTACAACTTGACTTCTTACCACCATGTTTTCCCTCGCCACTTGAAATCAAACATAAATGCAGCACAGGATGCGTGGTAACGTTTTCTTCTCCTCTGAAGTTCTGCTTCATTTATCATATCTCCCCTGTACTCAACAACAAAATCACCTTTGCAAAAGGCAGCCTTTGCAAATAGACCACGTCCTGCAAAATACAGAAAAAAACATTTTAAATTAATAAAATCTTATAGATAAAGGATACCAAATACACTAAAAAAGTCATCAATAGTTGGCAGCTGATTTAAAATAAGCTGCAACCAGGGGTCTGATTAAATATACCCAGGAGTTTTGCATTACATGCTCATAAGATAATGGTTAGGAAATGCATATCTTGGTAAATATTTCATGATAAAAATCACACCACCTTACCTTTCACTGCATTGATATACTTCACATCTAATTTGAATGTTTTGTCAGTTTTTGAAACAACATGATGCATGGCATCCTTAAGGGGGCTGATTCGTGGTGGCATTTCAAACTGATGAAAAATAAAAACATGTGAAATTAATTACACTGAAAATGAAGACACGCAGAATTCAACTAATATGTTCAAGAAGTAGATAAAAATGGTATTGTAATGTTACAGCATTACAATGATATTGTATGCATCAGTGTAAGACAAGACATATGAACTCTATAAAATAATATTAGATTTATTGACTGGCACAACAATGCTAGCCTTGAGAGCATCAACTCACCATCTTCTATTTTATTTCAGGTAACATTAGCCTTGGCAATTATTTAACTATTCATTTGGTCCTTAACCTAACCAAGTTACTCTTTTGAACGAGCTCACCATACAAACCCCAGTTTATTTTAACTACCGTCATAATTAAAATTAAGTTTATTCTTAAAGCTACTTTCTATTTTAGTTTTTGTTTTATTTTAGCCAACCTAATTTCTCTGTTAAGCACTTTGGTCAAGATCTGTGGCTTGTATATGCTGCCTATGGAGTTAATTTAAATGTAAAAACAATTATTGATCAGTCAAACGTGTTAACGTTACATGTAAGATATCTTCAATTTAAAATATAAAATAAGCCACCGTCCAGCACTAGCGCAAACTAGACAAAAACAACCTTAAAAACCGAATCCATTAGCAATCAGTCAGACTACACAACACTTTTCAGTTAAAATTAAGTCCTTAACATTAAATTGCATGATTATGTGATCGCTAATTGGAAAAACAGAGAAACATGTAACTGCGTTAGCCTCAACAATTAGCACTAACTAGCTAGCCCGCAGACTAATCTAATTAACCTAATTGATTTATTATGTGTGCTTACCTTAAGCTTCACTTTTATCCTCGGCAGAAGTTCAGATCGTTGGCATCTTCAGTAAATAACGTTAATCTTCTTCTTTGTTCTCCGTGTGAAGTAACGTTGTCAATTTAATACTTGTATTTTCAAGTTGCTGTCGAACTCCTTCCTAACGAGGACCCGGAAGTGGGCGGTACCCACCCATAATTGGAAAATGTGTGTGTGGAGAAGTGAGTGCATTACCAGACAAAAATGTTTGGGGGCGCAGCAGAGCTCCCGCTACACACACGCACAATACTTGATAATCATGTGTTATGGGCCAATGCTAAAACTCCGCCCAGAACCTTCAGAATAGTTCCTCTATCCAATTAAATGGGTTAACCTTATGGGGACCTGATTTTTGGTCCCCACAACGCAAGAGGTCCCCATTACGTGACTGTGTAAACAGATTCTTGTCCCCACAAAGTGATGATTACCAGAACACACACACACACACACACACACACACACACACACACACACACACACACACATTGTGTTTTTATGTTTTATGGGGACTTTCCATAGACATAATGATTTTAATATTGTACAAACTAACTGTATATGCAACGTGATCTCATGAGAATACGTATGTATTTATACGTAAAGTGTCGTTCTATCATACGTATATATAATTACGTTTTATATGCGCAGAAACGTATAATACTGACGTATTTACAGTACTAAAACGTAAAATATTTACGTATTGACAGCACAAAAACGTAATTTATTTACGTATGAACAAATCCACCGACGTACACATTGTACGTATCACAATTTATGCATATTAATATCGTAGCAGCATTATGTTTTGACTCTGTTGCATTCCACTGTCTTATTAATGAAGTTTTCAGTCGCATTTATTGATATAATACTCATAAATATGAACATTTTGCTCGTTTCGCCTACATGGTGTTAAACAATGCACTATAAAACCTTAAAAATACAGTCTTTAACGTTAACTACTCGTTCAACCATTTTGTAATAGTTTATTTACCTTGAGACACATAAAGCGTTTTCTCCTATAAAACACAACAAAAAAATCACAAAAGACATCAATTTGATTAGTTTGATGTAATCCAAATCTTTAGTATCCATAGTTGTTTAAAACAACTCCTAATTCAGCCTCTTATCCAGTCGTGATCTCTCCATTCTCAGCAGCGACCGTACATGTCAAACCCCGCGCTGATGAATTCAAATTCAAAAATTGCTCCCTTGAGAAGCGATACGTCATGTTTTACGGCAGTGATATCAAACGTTCATTGGCTCTTCCCTGCTTCGTCACAGTTTGCGACATGAAGGACTGTGCTGGTTGGTTAGTTTAGTTCATTTGAATTTTGAAATGGAGAAGCGCGAACCGAAGCCGGATTAACATTTTCATTATTTATTTAATTTCTGCTCTGTACTTCATACAAAACTATTACAATACTGCCAGAGACAGAGAGAAGACTGCGACTGCAACGCTTCATCATGTGAACGGCTTTTGGTATCGGTTTTGACATTTTTGCAATAAATAAATTATGATTATACTTGTCTGTTAGTTATGTTTTTCTTAATAATTGTAGTTTGTTACGTAGTTTTAAGGAATTGTTATGGGTAACGTTAGGTTTAGGGGTAGGATTGGTGGCTCAAAATATATTTTAATGTTATATTGTTATTAAAACTACCCTTTCCCAACACCTGTCCGTTACGTTTTATCCTTTTTTATATTAAGTATAAAATGGGTATGTTTAGGTTTGGGATTAGGGTTACGGGATCTTACATTTATGTATAAAATGGTAAAAAGGGAAATTATACAGATATCTTTATGATATAGAATATACGTAAATAGTTTACGTTTTGTAGCTGTAAAAACGTAATAATGTTACGTTTAAATGTTGCAGATACGTCTATATTATACGTTTCAGCACCTATCCAGACGTACTAAAAAGTACGTTTTTTATCTTTGCAAAAACGTAAAATACCTACGTATTAACAATGAGACCAGGCTGGTATATGAAGAGTTCAGATGCAAAAGCCTCTAAATGCCATTTGAAATGTTCTTCTTTAATGATGATTTTTATCAAACTTGTATATTTAAGTTCAGTAATTTCACTTAAATAACAATTAATAGGTAATTATCATTGCCATTTAAGTGAAATCACTGAACTTAAATATACAAGCTTGAAAAAATGATCATTCTAGAAGAAAATTTCAAATGGCACTTAGAGGCTTTTGCATCTGAACTCTTCATATTCTCTCCCCTTACACAAAACCTACCCCTAACCTACCCACAACACAAAACTTTCTGTATTTTTACATTTTCAAAAAAAAAATTATAATCTGTGACCAAAAATGTACCCATAAGGACAAGATTTTGGATATTGCCATCTTTGGGGTGTATATGTATAATGTAGGGTTTACTAGGCCACCCACACTTGTGTGGCGTGTAGATTTAGAAGTGACATTTTAATTGCTACGTTCTTTTTTATTCCAACTTACAGAGAGTTGTACTAAACTTGCAGCGACTGTCGCTAACCTATAATTGCTTTTTTCAATTTCATCATCAGCATATGACAGATGCAACAGCAATTTCAATTTCGATTTTTCAAGTGAAACGCATCTTCAATTTCAATTCAACATTGTGCGTAGCGTGAAAGGAAACACACTTTATCTCAGTTTTCATTACATTACACAGCTGCTAAACAAACCCTGCCCTCAAATAACCCAGCGGAGAAAAGAATCACTTCTGAAACATGCTTCTTAACCCCCGACGACTAATCGCAGTCTTGCACTATGGAGGCCCAGGGTGACTTTAAAGTGCAGCCTCGCTCGACTAAAATTGTGTCAGTCTGCATGTTCGTCAACTCTCCCAGGACGGCCCAACCCTCCGTCGACTCGTCCTTGAGAAGCACTCTCATCTCTGCGGTTTGTCCTATCACATCACTGTTTTATGGCTGCAACATTAATAATAGGTCAATTAATCTCATTGCCCATTTCTGAAAGTTCTGTCTCTTGGTGAATGAGTTTCATTTGTGCACGCTTCCTACATTATAATGAGGGAGAAAACAAGCTCTTTTCTATTCTAATGCTTTATTAGACTAATGAAATCTTTTTAACTTGTTTATTTTGGGTGTTTTATAACAGTGTGTGGTTGCATACTGTGGATTTTCAAAAGTGAATTATTCATGTCCCTGTTGTATCCAAAGTATACTTCAACACAAGCAAAACAAGTTTATTTCATTTTGATCGTTTGTTATCCTTAAAATGATTTTGAGTCGTCTTCACTAGCATGCCGTCAATTTACTATGAGAAGACAATAAAGTGGTGGAATTTTGATACAAATCTAGTGCATAGATACAACAACTTTTATTCATCTGGGAAACTAATCATCAACATAACCAAGCATGTGGCTATCTCTGAGGTTACTGTCTTTTTTATTTCATTACTGTTTCAAGTACTTTATCCAAAACATAATATTGCACTTTTTATTCCACTACATTTCATAAAAACATGTCGTTCCTCGTTATTTTGAACTGAAGAAATCATCACTTGCTTCAAGGCGAGACAGTGATTCGTGAACGAGCTGATTCTGTTAAATTGGTTCTCAAATCACACTGAGTTTCATCTGGGAATTGAACCGACCCAATTGCATCTGTTCTCGAGTCAACAAGTCACTAGCCATGTTTCCATCCACTTGTCAATCGAATTATCTGAAATTTGGTTAAAAAAACTCATGCGGATAAAGCTGGTGAAAGTGTGTTTCCATCCAACGGCTTTAAAGCGGATAAAAACCTGTACGTAATGACGTCACATGCTGTTTTGCGATCAAATTGGTATATCGAATTGATTTGAAACATTTTAAGGTGTTTCCATTTATTTTCGCACTGAATCGAACAACATTCAAGGAAACTTTTGCGAACAAAGTTTTGTTGGACAAAACGGATCGCACCATCTACCAAAAAAGATCAATATTTCACAAGTTGAAGGCTAATAATGCTTATGTGCCAGCTGATAGCGACATATGAATGGGATAATGTATGCGAGGCGGTTGTTGTATTCGCTATAACAACCGCCTCGCTATATATTATCCTGCTTATTACATATAAATCAACCAAATAAATAAATAAATCAATAATTTGACACAAAATATTGACTTAAAAACGAGTTTATTGATTTAAAAACGAGTATTGCTTCTGCTAAAGAAAATAGTCTGTTCGTCTCTGAACTGCGTCCATGGCAACGGTGTGTTATACTAGCAGCGCCGTAGTCTGTTAACTAGAAATAACAGACCACATTCTACATTAGAATTCAACCAAGCCACGTAAAAACAAGCAAAACTAACCTAAGAAAACAGCGACGCTATAAACATTGCTATGATGATGCCGATGCACGTATGCCCGACGACAGCGGAGGTGACTGTGGTGTGGGAACGACAGCGCCCCATCAGTTCTGGGAGATTGTGGTTCACGGAAACCCTTTGGTTGAAGCATCTTTTTGCTTTGTCCACTTACATCTGTCTTTGTTGACATCCGCCATGTGTGCGCAAACAGACTGGCCGTAAATGAACTCGTCTTCGACGTGTTGCAACCATAAAAGGGCATAAAACTTAATCGCAATTCATTATTTATTCGGCAAATAACGTTTCCATCAGTTTTTATCGCATTAGCCGTATATCAATCAAGAGAAAATTCGATGAGACCGAACGTATTTCATTTGAGTCGATTTTCATGAAATTTCATCGAATTTTACTGTTTCCACAAGGCTTTTTCATTCGATATCACTTAATTCGGATAAAAACGTGTCGATGGAAACATGGCTACTGATTCAAATGATCCAGTCAGACCGAGTCTCCAGTTAACAATTCTTTGAATTCACAAGTCTGACTAAAAATGAGCCAAGAACGAGAGATCCTTTGAGCTTGAGTGCAAGTCGGAACAGTTACTAATGCCGAATTTTAGGATTTATTATCGTATATAATCCAAGTGGATGCTGCACACTGGTGGTGGTTGAGGAGAGATATGATTGTAATGCACTTTGGGGCAACAGTAGTACATAGTAGAGCACTAACATAGTGTTATAAGTGCATTTCATTTAATTTTCATTTCAAATGAAGATCATAATTGGTTCACGCCTGTCATTTGTTTGTGAACTATAACTGCTGTAAAAGGCTGAGCTGTTTAAACCCATTGAATGAAATGCTTGAATGTGGACATGTCCATATTTGTGTATTACGTCTGAATGGGGTATATTTGAGGTAAAAACTGATTATATAAATATTGTATGTTTTCATAGTGTTCTTATTTAAATGTTAGCACTTATGTGTTCTTATGTGACGTCTGTTTTTATATTCTACTTAATCGTACATAATATAAGCATACATTATAAATCAAGTACTTTTATACTTTTACTCAAATGAAATTGAAAATGACAACTTACAGAACATATTTTACTAGAATAATATTTTACTAGGATATCTGCACTATTACTCAAATA